CCCCAAAACCCCAAAACCCCAAAACCCCAAAACCCCTAGAGGTAATATTAATACTTATTAGGTCTTTGGGAATTTAATAAATCAATATCTTATTTATTATTATTGAAATGGGTGGAGCTTGTAGTTGCTTTTCCTAAGAGTAAAAGACTAATGACCTCGGGTCGCAAAGATCTAACAATACATGTACTATTGAGATAAGATAAAATTTATAGATCAGAATAAAAACGACAAATTAGAATCTCACATGGGACAGAAAACTCTTTCAGTAATATAAGAGGAGAAAAGTGTGAGGATGAGCGAAGTGTCAGAGAATATTTCAGCTTATATTAATGGGAGTCCTAAAAATTTTGCAAATCAGCAGGAGAACGAGCAAGTTCGTTTAGGGACAGGTGGAAATAAATCTAAAAAGAGCGATGAAACCAGCTCAGTTGTATCAATATAAATGATTGACATTCAATAGAAACAGAAGTCGTAAGATTCAGACTACAGACAACCGTCATTCTCTCAACCTACCAATCAGAAATAGTCTGTTAAGAAATAAATCGAGATTGAGATTCCTAAGGATAGCTATGAAGAGGAAAAAGTTGAGGAGAAAAATCCACTTCTGTAGTAATACTAGAAATAGCTTGAGAAAGAACAAAAAAATTCTTAAATAGAGTAGACTTAGTCTTAAAAGTAGCCCATACAAGAAAAGCAGTAGCATTCTATAAATGATGATAATGATTCAGAAAGACATAGTATTGAAAATCATCATCATCTCCATTAAGAAAATGATTAACAATACGATCAAAGTAATCCTTATGTGGAGACATAAAATTCCGTAAAGGTAATATCAAATCTACAAGTGGATTAATCTGAGGGGCACCTTTTACAAGAGGAAAATCACCAGTAAGAGGCTATCAATTACTATGAACAATAAAGAGAGAGTATAACATAAAAAAATATTAACGTGAATGAGATAGTATAAGAATAGGAAGAGTTAAGTTAGAGTATAAAAGTATTGCCCAATATTGACAATTAGTAAATTCAATTAGAAAAAATTGAGGAACATCATTAAGAGTTATCATATATATAGTAGGAAACCTTGAAAGTTGAAGCTGAGGATACTCATATTACTGAAAATGAAACTAACATCACACAGACTTAACCTTTAAATGATGGTGAAATGCATTAAGATCTATAGGTAGAAAATAATGAACATATGACATTCGAGAATCAGGAAAATCTGCATCATAAAGAGCTAGAGGATGAAAACTAGCTTATGCATAGGTAGTCTCTAAAAGATGAACTTAGCGAACTTGAGGATGGAGATGATAACTATTAGTATCAATAAAATGAGATTAATTAAAATGAGGACAATGAAAACTTCTAAAATGAAACTAACAGCTAAAACAAGCCAGTTCATTACGAAGAATATCAAAGCTAATCGTATAATGACGATGAATCAGATGTTCATAGACTTAATTCTCCCTCTTAATATTCTCAAGGTACTAATTTTAACAGAATAAACGATGGAGGGTCTGTATATTCTCATGACACTGAATTTAAAAGAGTGGATGATGGTTAATCTGAGAGATCTGGGACTATTGTTAATAGAATGGCAAGTGGGTCAGTAGTTTCTAGAAATACAGATACAAGCATGGTAAGAGTTGTAGAAGATGACGAGGATAATGAGGATAACTATCTAAGAAGATTGGAAGGCTCTAGTAGTGACTATTAGAAAAACATAAATAGACCTTTTTCTACCACCCAGAAGGATGCTATGAAATTTGATGCAGGATTTCAAGGGCAAGAAATGGATAGAAATTCCAGAAGAATGACTGACAGAAGAGCCAATAAATAGTAGCTTGAACCTAATAATGTGATAAAGGAGGAAGATGAAAATCAGCAACTTAATGAGCAGTTACAGATAGATGATGAAGAAGAAGACATTCAAAGACTTTCAAAATTTGATCAGTCAGAAATGGACTTTAAAGATACTTAGTCTGATTTTGATAACAGATTTGTCGAATAAAACGCTGATTAGATGCAGGACAGAGGCTCTTCATATTACAAGAAAGATGGATTAAACAATCATCTTGGAAGATAGCAAAGAACAGATACTACCTAGAGTAATGTTTTCAATCAAGCTGCTTATGATCAAGTATCGGATACTAACAGTAATTACACCAATAACAGAGGCAAAGAGGGAGGATTTGTAAATGGCACAGCATTCGACGAGGATGATGAAGATGACGACTTCAGAAGAGCCAAGGGTAATGCCATCAAAAATAGAAGAGAAACTGAAGATTATTGAAACTATTCATCTTAAAATAATTTTGTTTTTTTTATAATTTGAAAGACTTTAAAGTTTAATAAATTTGAGGGGTTTTGGGGTTTTGGGGTTTTGGGG